CCTGAATCCAGAGCTCATCCTAGCTTGTCCCAGCAGTCTCAGACTAACTTCTGTTCTCCACCACACACAAATTCAGATAGCCTGTGTAATGGCAGCTACCTCCATAAGACAGATCTCCCTACTGACAGCCACCTGCTCTGTTCATCTCAGCCAATGTCAAACAACTCCCATTCCCTTCCCAGGCACTTCTCCCAGTCCAGTCCTAACCTTAACTCTCTGCCCTGCAGTATGTCAAATGTTTGTCCCCTCACCCTCCAAAACATCCAGCCCAAGTCCAATTCTTCTCCTAAAACCCTGATGTCCAGCTTTCACCCTGACTGCCAAACTAATCCCTGTACACCCATACCACCTGACTCTGAACCCCAGACCCAACCCCCTGCTGTGGAGTCATGTGGGAGGCCCCCGCTGGTCTCTCCTGCCCCCCTCTCTCTTCCACACACAGATGGAGGCCTCCCAGTAGCCTCTGCCTGTGCTCTGTCCATCACAAAACATACAATACCAAACCTCCCTTTACCTAACCACAGTTTTCCCATCACCTTCTTTGAAAGACCCAGTCCCTTGAAGGCAGGTGGTGTACTGCTCAACTGCCCTAAAGATGTTTTTAAAATCATTGCAGCATTCATGGTTGTAGAGCCTTTCATAAATATCCATGGGGATTTAAAAGGAAAATTCCATATTCAAAGCCAATACAGTCCATAAAAATTACATTATTTTGAATTTTGATCTGTTGAGGTTGATGGAGGTGGAGAGGTTTATTCCTGTTATGGATTTATATTATTATTATTGAATATTGGTGTTTAAATATTGAATAAAATTGTTACTAAAACTTGATTTTTATTTTTTAGCTCATTATCATTTTGGCTTAACACTGGACATTGATTTCTATTTCCTAGATGGAAACGATGCCCTGCTACAGGCTCAACAACCATGTTGCAAGATTTTTTTGACGTATGGATGAAATATCATCTCAGACTAAACTCAGCCTCGTCTTTGAATCTTTAATTCTACCTGAGTACCGTGATTTTGTTTCTGTGCAGTCAGCATGTTTATGCTTTGTCTGGTAGCATGTTCTCTGTTTGAAAGACAAGCTCTTGAAAATATCCTCTGCCGTGACTGAATGCAGTTACTTACACTATCAGTCAAAGGTTTGGACCTACTTTCTTATTGGTTTGAATGGGAAATTAGGTCCAAACCTTTGACTGGTGGCGTATATTTGTGTTTGTCTGTGTCAGGCAGTGTTGACATGTCCTTGGATTATTGCTCTCTATTTCTAGCCTGTTGAGGATGCCTGTGATAAATCCTAAATCCACTGGGCTCACAGTCAAACCCACCTAACACAAGTGGAACTTAAATACATTGTTTTGTGGATAAAAAAAGCTTTTTTACACTAAGTGGAACCTAAAGTTCAGAACTAATGTGACTCTAGCTAAATGGCTAGCTACTATATCAGGTCTGTCTCTGCTTAAGCCTGTTCATTCTGAGCAGCTGGCTCTCTGTCACCTTGACCCAGCTGCAGTTTGTTTTGGTAAGTGACCCTGTTTTTGGAGTGGACATTTAACTTGATATAATTGTGTTCTCGCGTAGGAACCCCGTGTTTGTGTCTGTTGGTCTGACTCTGAAGCTCCTTTTTGTCTCGTCTTCAGTTTTTCTGTCTTGTCTGCTTCTCTTTGTCCTTCCTCCCACCCTTCCTACCTTTTTCTTTCCCTGTCTCCCTCCCTGTGTTTTTTGCTGTCTGTTTCTTTATGTCTGTCTTGCTATCGGAGGTGTGGTCCAGAGAAAGCTGCTATGAGAGACTGTGGAAGGTAGAGGTTACAACACTGTTGTGCCAGATAAAAGCTCTGTGTTAAAGAAGTTTAAATCATTTTTTAAAAAAAGTCTACTGTCATTCTAAGTGGGCAAACTGTTCATCAACTTTCAACAGCTTCATCAAAACCAACAGAAGAAACAAGGCTGTGGGTTCACCAACCACTTCTGTTTTTAGCTACTAAGCAAAGGAATAGAAAAGGGTATAGTTCTCTCCTCTACTAAATAACTCAACAGAATCTTGGATTACACACAACAGGAGGAAGCCCATTTGATATGTGGATTGGAAATGTTTTTATACTTTTGTCTTTTATTCCCGTGAGCAGCATTACATCCTTTTTTCAAAAAAAAAAAAAAGTGTTTCAAAGAGAGGTCTTTGGTGAACTGCAACCGTAACACACTCTTTAGATGCCTACATCATATCTAACTGGAGTTCCCAGTGATCACTAGTTCAGGAAAATCACATGGTTTATACCAGTAGTCCAAACATGTTGTGTTGGTAACATGGGGACAGTCGGTAGCGCCAGTTCCACTAACCGCTTGCTGGACTTGCAGCCCAGTGGGTGTTCCCTGTTTTGATTGACAGCTAAC